ATTGCAATTGATCGTGACATTTAGACAAGGCTAAAATATTAGTGTAAGTAAGAGAATTACATAAATGCATGATTAAAGTGAATATTATGATGATTTATGAGGATTTGTCTTCCCCTTATATTTTTGTTATCAAAGGATTGAGAGTTAAAAATGTGTCATATGTGATCTGGTATTGTTATGATATATTGCATAGGTATCCTTTAATCTATTGAATGTGATTAAATGGTCATTGTGAGTTTATGACACTTGGTAGGAATTTTAAACACCCTAGTTGTATTTTAAAGGCAAAGAGGAGTGAGTTTGCAAATGAGTGAGACCGGTGCCATTAATTAGAGCTCTAAAAGAGCTTTTTATAAATATTTAAATTACCTCAATCGAACATCTAACGATGATTTAGGGCGCTTCTTTCATCCCTATTGTTGTCAAATGAGAGTAACAATACTATCAAACCTGTACAATGTGCTGCGACATATGGTGTCTATAAATATAAAATTTCCAGAAATAAATCTTTATTTGATTGGTTAGTAGTAAGAAAATAAACAAAAATATATTTAAATGAAAAATATCAAAATAACTTAATTAAAATATTTCATATTGTGAAAAAGAAGGCTCCACACACACACACTGTTTTGTCCATAAATCACTTTCAACTTTTTCAAATTTATTAAATCCTTCTAAAAATAAAATACCTATAATTTAATAATGTAATTTTTTTCTTATTAATATGTAAGAAAAAGAAGGCTTCACGTGGGATTCGGGTCTTCCTTTTTTTTTTTTTCTTTTTTTTTTAATACTAGGATTTGGGTCAATTAACCATTTCTGATTGCACTTGAGGCTATTTGTTACTCACGAAATTGCGAAACTATACCCAACCAAATGCAATTTGATACCCGTTAAATGCACTGTTTGCCTCTCAACCGTATTTTCTCTCCTTATCGTCGTTGATAATGCTGGCTTCGCAATCTTATCTTCTGAACACCGTTTATGTAAAAGGTGTCATTCTTTTTTTTTTTTTTTAATTCTTGTTTTCATTCTTTGTGGATTTTCCTAGTGGTCGTCTTCTTACTTCCATCTCCTCTGTTTCTGTGTTCCAATTTTGCAGGATTCAAACCTTCTGTATATAAGCGAACCAGTTTCAATGTTTCTGTAAGTATCTTCCGCTCCCCGTTTTGTGTTCTTTAATTTGAAAATTCTGCGCAGCTTTTCTTCTATCCCGTAGTAATTATCCAGAAAATTCAAATGGGAATGCTTCGAATAGCTGAATTTAGCTTGGTCACTTTAATTTTGCTATTTCGTGGCTTCAATTGATGTTCTCATTTTGCTCTTATCTTAAATTTGAGTAGTTGTTAATCATGATAAACAAAGGGGAAATACATTTGGGAAAAGGAAACCTAACCAAATGCTAACGAGAAAAATATAAGGTTTTAAACACGCATGCTTGTACCAATGTTTAGACAACAAGTTCGTATTCCAGATTTTAAGAATAATTTGGTTTTCCACGTCACCCATGCTTGAGTAAAATGAATTCTTGGTTCCGAAGGTTAAGTATAATTGTCTCATTTCAGTCCTTCAAAGATTATTTTTATTTGAAAATTGTCCTCGGTGAATTCTAAGTTTTAATCCTATATTGGTACTAAGCAGTAGATTATCTAATTTCAAACGTTTAATACTGTATATTTAACTTTGATTTCCGATGCTTAGTTGCATCCTTCTTGAAATATAACTAAATTGGAGGAACTCTGAATATTATTTTGAGATAAAATTTTACATGCCAGGATTGTTCTTGCATGTAAATTTCAGAATCTCTTAGCCTGCATTATTTCTGTATTGCAATGGGATTTCTGAAACATGTTTTCTATTTAAATGTTGGATAGGTTCACAGACGTTCCAAAAGATACTGTGTATGACCTAAGTTCAATTTATCTTCTAAATGTAACATTCGGGTGATTTTGTTTTAGTTCAATTTATTATTTATAATGTCTGAATTGTTTATTAGTCCATCTCTCTCTCTCTCTCTACATTTTTGGGAAGCTATGAAATCAGAATGCAGAATAATTACAGAGTTAGCAAACTTGATTTCTTTAGTTTTCTATAATTCTGAGTGCAACTTGACATTCGTCCATATCTGATTCATGAAACTAGCAGGAACTGGCATTCTATTCTTCTAATTTACATTTAAACCGACATTTACATTTCCATATGCTAATTGAAGTTGTTTCCATCGAAAAAGAGCTGCTATGTGCTTCTGCTTTGTTTATTTCACCTTCATACCGAATGGTTCCGTTTGCCTTTAACTTGGAGAGTTCAATATAAAGTTGTATTTGGTGCTTAGAGGAGATCATTTATCACTTGCTGCAATTTATGAAATGCACTTTTTTTTTTAAACAAGATTTTTTGACCAAATTTTTCTAAACAAGATTGTTGCCAAAAAAATTATGGATACAGTACAAGTTTTCATAACTGATAATCTTTTGACTTTTTTTTTTTAAATTACATCAAATTCAAATGCTCTATGGTACATGTAATCTACTGGCTATACTATATATGTCAAGTTGTTAATGGCCACGCCTTATTTAATAGGATATGTCACTTGAGTGAGAATGACATCTGAAATAGAGGAATGTTCTGCTTTTGCACTTACTGGTACTATGTTCTACTTCACCTTATAATCTGGCGTTTCAAATGTTGCAGGAAAGATCAAGTTATCTAACCAAGAGACCTGCAAATGGGCGATCTCAAATCTTGCAATGTAGTGCAGGCACTGAATTCTTAACACTGCAATCAGCGGCGACTTCACTGACGGCCTCTTTTGACTCAAATGCAATTTCCGATCCTCTAAAGCAGGCCACAACAGAAATAACACATGCACTTACTCTTGAAAACTTCAACTTTAGGCTGGTTCTCGCAGATTTGGATCCTGCTACTGCAAAGCTAGCAATTGGGTTTTTAGGTCCCTTTCTGTCAGTGTTTGGATTTCTGTTTATCTTGAGGATAGTCATGTCCTGGTACCCCAAGCTTCCTGTGGGCAAGTTCCCATATGTGATAGCTTATGCTCCCACAGAGCCACTTCTTGTTCAGACCCGCAAAGTGATCCCTCCGCTTGCCGGTGTGGACGTGACTCCTGTGGTTTGGTTCGGTTTAATTAGTTTTCTTAATGAAATATTGGTGGGACCTCAAGGGTTGCTTGTTCTCCTTTCTCAGCAAGTCAATTAGCTTACATATGTGAGATTTGGGTACATCACCAGATTGTATTCCATTGTTCCTTTGAGGACATCCGATAAAATTGGATCAATCCGGAGATTGTATCCATCAAATTCTTGTCATTGGATGTATATGAGTGTACAAATTTGGCCATTTTGTTGTGCTAGTGGCTTCACTAGTTAAGTGCTAATGAGATGGTTGAGTGCAGACTAGAGAGTAATCAAAATCCTTTACTTCTAGATTCAGATCTTATGATTTCAAAAGTCAACAATGAGTCAATGGTTGAATCAATACCAACAATAGCTCTATATCGTGTAATTCACAATTCAAATATTATGATTTGTAACAAGTTGTAAAGTGGATTATATAAATTGATAACTCTGGCAAAAAGAGATAAAATTTCATGATTGAATTGAATGTAAATTATGCATATCAAGTTAATATGCAATGATAGTATGACTGGGATGTAGAAATATGTGAAAACAATAAATTGCCATGACAGTTATTAAGAGTTTTTATGATGCTTGTCAAGAAAGAAAAATAATGATATGTGAGATTTGACATTGTTTTAGGGTCTGGATTAACAATTTTCTACTTTTGAAAAGTATTTTCCCATTTTTGGGATGTGTGAAGTTGTTTGGTAATAATAAATTTTCAGAAGCTCATTTTAAGAAGTTCATTCTAAAATAATGAATGCAAGGGGTAGCTTTTGCATTTCCGTTTGAATAATGAATGCACTCAATTCATTCACTAATCACTGCCCATATTACCCCTCTTTAGGCATTTTATATTTTCTTCCCATGGTTGAACACGAACTTTCCTTTAGTCCGCCTACTTCCTAAAAACTGTACGAGTAATATAATAGGACTTTTATTTTTATTTTTTAAAAGATATGATTACAGAGCTCTTCAATAATTAATAATTCTTTCATTTAAAAATATAAAGTATTTGTAATTGAATTTTACCCTTCAATAAAATAATTATTTATTTTTAAATTAACACAATCTTTTCATATTTATGGTGTTTCATTCTAAAATAAATATAAAGTAATTTATTTATTACAAGTATTTTTTTTTAAAAGAAGCAATTATTATATTTTAAAATATTAAAAATGCCTTATATTTTTTAATATCTAACTCTTTAAAAAATATCTTATAATTTTTATTAGAGGGAGTATATTATAAATTTAATTTTTTATTTCAAAATTAATTTTGATCTTGATATAATTTAAACTTTATATTGTTTATAGATTCTTTTATTATATATATTTTTTACCACATCTATTTTTATATTATTATATATTTTTTAACAAATCAAGTTTTACATAACGAAAAATACGTATAATAAAATTTCTATCCTTTTTAGTAATTATACAGATTATTCAAACAATTTTTAATTTTACAAGTTGACTTTTAAAAAATATATTTAAATACAAATCTTGTCAGAATAACTAACTTTTGATTAATTACATGAGTAATGGTTTAATTTATGAGTTATATATAATAAATATTTTTTGAACTAAGGTTTTAAGGATTTTGAGGTAATCTATTCTAGGGAAAAAGAAAAGAAAAGATCTTTGCAATTTTATAATCAACAAAATTGGTAACTATTCACACATTAAGAAATTTCTTTAATTTTTTTTTCGTAAATCACATTAAGATATTTCTGAAACAATTACTTATTCTGTTTTTATTCGTAGTATATTCTTTTTATCTTATTTTATTTATTTAGAAGATATTTTACAAGTATATAGAAACTCAGACAGCCAAACAAATGAAAAATAGAAGTTGATGCTTTGATTTTAGCATGTTCTTGTAAAGAACTGTGAATGGATAAGCCATGCAAGGTCCCGAAGACACCTTGTGCCATTTTCGAATATATTTTCTTCCCAAGAAGTTGAGGTTTAGACTTCTCTGAGAGGTTACAGAACAAAAAGCTTCTGCAAAATTCCACTCCATTCCTTCCTAACGACCTTCATTCACTCTCTCACTGCAACTACGCATCACAATCCTCTCTCTACAAATGCTAGCACATCCTTCTCTTTCTCCTTCATCGTTTCTCGCCACTCATAAACTCCAATCCCCTTCTTTACTATGTCCCAAACAATGCAATTCCTCTTCTCCTTGCTGGTTTCTTCCCCTTTCCCCTCAACCCCACCAAATTTCTGGGACCCATAGGTCCGGCATATGTGCTGCCACCACCGCCGGTGGTGGTGGGGATCTTGAGGTCGATACCTTCACGGCCAAGTCCGGTTATCTCTTCGAGCTCAGTGACTCTGAGGCGGACTCTCTGGCTGAATACAACATATCTAAGATCGCTGCCATTTATAGAAGAAAGCCTTTGATTGTTTTTCGCCGGTTGTTTCAGATAGGAACTGCTTTTGGCAAGTGGTTTGGCCTCCGTTTCATTGACAGTCTGAAGGAGCGGTCTGATGAAATGTTTGAGGTTTGTAAATTTTATTTCGTGCAAAATAATTGGTTAAGTTGCAGTATGCTTCTGAAGGAGTTATCGAATTTTCATTATTGCACAGGGATTACATTTTTGAAGCTTATGATTTGCGGGTTAGATTGACAAACACTGAGTGTTTCGTTTTAATTGTTTACTTGTAGGTTAGAGCTGCAGAACTCAGGAAGATATTGGTAGAACTTGGACCGGTATGTCATGTTTTGCAAACTATAATAAAATTTGGGCTTTCTTCTGATTTCCTTTTCCTATAACTTGGTGTCATTCTGATTTTGATCGGTAAAAATATGGGTCCATACTATTTTTCCAAGTCTTGTCAAATTACCGTATGACATTGTTCAAGTGGTGTAAATGGGTCAGCTTTATCATTGCAACTTCCAGTTTGTCCAAGCGGTTGTTTCTGCATTTCGTTTTCTTCAAGAAGTTTTCATGAACTTTTTTGGGTTCTTGGATTTTCATCTAGTTTCAATTGAATGATTATAATTCATGAATGTTGGGTTGAGTTAAAAATAAAGGAGATATTCAGAATTGTACTAACTATAGAGGGATTAAACTCATGAGCCACACAATGAAATTGTGGGAGAAAGTAATTGAGCACAGGTTGAGATTGGAGACAAGTATTTCTGAGAATCAATTTGGTTTTATGCCAGGTAGATCAACTACAGAGGCGATTTATCTACTAAGGGGATTAATGGAAAAGTATCGTTGTAAAGATAAAGATCTACACATGGTTTTTATTGATTTGGAAAAAGCTTATGACCGTATACCAAGAGAAGTGCTTTGGAAAGCGTTGGAAAAAAAGGGAGTACGGATTGCTTATATTAAAGCCATACAAGATATGTATGAGGGGGTAAAAACTAGTATAAGAACGCCTAGTGGTCAAACAAAGGATTTTCCTATAAAGATTGGACTACATCAGGGATCATCTCTGAGTCCTTATTTGTTCAACTTGATTTTAAATGTTTTGACGGAACATATTCAAGAGGAAATCCCGAAATGTATGCTCTTTGCGGATGATATAGTTCTTATAGCAGAGACAAGAGAAGAGGTTAATTGCAAACTTGAGTTATGGAGGAGGACATTGGAGTCGAAAGGTTTTCGTCTGAGTAGAAGTAAGACGGAATATTTATATTGTAAATTTGGTAAAGGACTATTCGAAAATAATTTCGAAGTGAAATTGGGAGATCAAATTATACCTCAAGTGGAAAAGTTTAGATATTTGGGAGCCATTATTCAAAATGATGGCGAAATCAGTGGAGATATTTCACATAGAATTCAAGCTGGGTGGTTTAATTGGAGAAAAGCTAAAGGAGTTATTTGTGACCGTAGGGTGCCTAATAAACTTAAAGGAAAGTTTTATCGTACTGCTATCAGACCGGCAATGTTATATAGTAGTGAATGCTGGGCTCTAACGGGACAGCAAGAGCATAAAGTTGGAGTAGCAGAGATGAGAATGTTACGATGGATGTGCGGACATACACGTAAAGATAAAATTCGAAATGAGCACATACGTGAAAAAGTGAGGGTGGCACCTATTGAGGAAAAAATGGTAGAAAATCGGTTGAGATGGTTTGGGCATGTACAAAGAAGACCAAGGGAGGCACCAGTGAGAAGAGTGGAACATATAACTTTGAGTCCGATTAAGAGAGGTAGAGGAAGGCCTAAGAGAACACTCTTGGAAGTTGTTGAACGTGATCTCTTAATTAATAATATTTCTAAAAGCTTAATAAATGATAGAGCACAATGGCGTCTTGCAATCCATGTAGCCGACCCCACCTAGTGGGATAAAGGCTTGTTGTTGTTGTTGTTGTTGTTGTTTTTGGGTTGAGTTAAAAAGTTCATTATAAGTGTCGCCTCTGTTTTCTTTTCTTCGTTCCTTTTCTCTCGCCAAGTTTTGGCTTTGATGTCCCTTCGGGCCATATATGATATAGCTGCTATATTCTTTGGCAGCCGGAGAAAGAATTAGGTACATTTAATTTCCAGAATATTAATCCTCTAAATTTGAAGTCCTCAAACATGGAGCACTGTTTTAGTAAAAACTTCAATGCATTGCTCAATAATCGTCTTAAATTTGTAGATGCCTCTGCATCAATTCACCTCTATTAGTATTTTTATCAAGGTTCTTGTTGTAATGCCCTAACTTTTGTTCTCATGGAATATCTCCTTAAAATTTGGTAGGTCTAATGGGCTTTTTGTCCTGAAAAGGTTTTTCTCATTAAGACTACACTGCTACGGATGCTAAATTATGTGCAGGAGATTTTTTAGTTTAGTTGCATTGCACAGTCTTTTGTTTATATCATGCCAATCTACTGAAATGTCTATTTTAATTCAGTGTTATCATCTACAATTTCATTTTTTTTTGGATAGAAAACAACTTTATTTTATAAATTAAAGTTTTTTGTTACTTTCTTTCAGGCGTATATTAAAATTGCCCAGGCTGTATCAACTCGTCCAGTAAGTTGCACGTAACCATGTTGTTATTATTATTATTATTTTTTCAATGTGTTCCTTTTATATGTTGCTGGTCTTTTAATATACTTCCTGCAGCTTTCCTGTTGAATTGTTATTTACTTGGTGATAAAGCTTCTTTTTCTCTTCGGATTCACCTATGCTATTTAAAGCACATGTAACACAGCACACTATACTGTTGGACTTTGTATTAGGATGTTCCTTATTGCTATATATTTTTACTTCTGGCCCTTTTGATCCTCTGTTGTAATGGGCCCATGGCCTAGACAGAGGCTCATGATAATATTTGTAACGTGATTGTTATGTTGGTGTTTAATTCAGACATTGTTTTTCTATCTTAGTAATTACTTGAATAAGATATATTAACTTTATTATTCTCAGTTATATTCTATTCTTCATGTCTGTTTTCTTGCTTATTTAGGGGGATGGGAATTTCTTTATGGTTTTGCAGGATATGATCCTGTTTCATTGTAACGTCGACTAACTTTGATATATAAAAATTTTGTGCCTGTAGGATTTGATACCACCGTCGTATTTGGATGAACTTTCATTGTTGCAAGATCGAATAAGCCCATTTTCTACAGAAGTTGCTTTCAGTATGATAGAACAAGAACTTGGTTTACCTATTGATGAACTTTTTTCAGAGATTTCACCTACGCCTGTAGCTGCAGCATCCCTGGGGCAGGTTTATATATTTTGAGTCTTTTATCTTTCTAATGATTTTAGAAGTTTTTGAGTCCTTGATTGATTTTCAAGTGTGGCTTGAAATTCCTGAAAATTGGAACTTCTTTGTGAGAGTAGGTTTATCAAGCCAGGCTTCGCCAAAGGGGACAGGTTGTTGCTGTTAAAGTCCAAAGACCAGGAGTCCAAGCTGCAATTTCCCTTGACATGTTAATATTACGTGCCTTGGCAGGCTTTATTAGGAGAGCTGGCAAATTTAATACTGATCTTCAGGTAGTGTAATGTCTGACGGAGATTAAATGGAAGGAATGTGAAATGTAGTTACATTGATGGCAAAATAATTATCATTGCTATTAATGGCCCTTTCATCCAAGGCTAGTTGATAATCGATTATTTTCTTTTAACTCCATATGGGGCCTCGTAAGAACAATTACTCTTCTCTCTCTCTATGTATTGGAGGGGGTGTATACTTCTATGCATGTGCGGTACTTTTCCAGTACCATGGTGTGTTTGGTTGCTAAACATGGTATTGTATATGCAGGCTGTTGTTGATGAGTGGGCATCAAGTCTTTTTCGGGTATGCATTGATATCCTTGTATCTTCACTTGAACTTTTCAATATGCGTGTTTATATGGTGAAATGTTTGTGTGCAAGGATTTGATGATAGAAAAATTTTGATATCTTCTTGCCAACTGAGGATCATTTAATTTATGTATCGATGATCTCACTGTCTGGTAAAAGACATGTAAGACACTACTTGTATTTGATACCTGCTGCTGCGAGCCTGCAAATATACTTTGGATCCTGATCTGTCAACGGATTGTATCATTAGTTGGACTTATATGCGTTGAAGTCCAATTACTTTATAGCGCTTGAATTTCAGTCAGGAGTAATAATTATAACACTTGGTCAGAATCTAGAGTCATGATTGAAAGACTTCGTCAGAATCCAGACCTTTTAGTATTTAATGTCTAAAAATGTTATATTACCTCGTCAATTAGCCTTCATAACTTAAAATATACTTAATTCCTTGGTAGTGTCAGGGTTCATATTCTTTCTTGAGTTTTGTGCTTTTTTGTTCACTTAGCTTGTGTCTTGTGAAAGGGGGAAAAGGTTAAAAATAAAAAGGAAAGAAAATCAGATTGGCAGAGCAATATAAATGAACTAAATTATTAGTTTCAGGATCTCAACAATTCTTATTGTTGGCTGGTGACTACGTGTTTCTTTTTTCCTTTTTTTTTTTAATAACTTGTTCCTTTTGTTTTGGAGCTTGCATATTTTATCATCTTTTTGTCTTGCACCCTTCCTAAAAATTGAATCTATAAGGTGCTGGACTTGCAAATTGATTCTAAAAGCTGGTGATATGTAAAGTAGTATTTCCGTTTTTTTTTTTTAATTTCCTTTTATTTTCTGTTTCTCTTTTCCTCTGGCTCTCCACAGAAACTCTTGTTATGATGGAATGAGAGGATATTTTATCCATTTGATTTGTATTTTCCACTTCGTTTCTGTTGAAAAATTTTCTACGTTATGCTAAGTGATCCTATTTTATTATAAAAGCCCTGATTCAAAGGATAACCTTACTTTATCCAGATTTCTAATCAGTGAAACTGATTCTTTAAATTATTCCCTCATCTTCTAATACAGTCCAGCTCGAAACCTTAGAGAATTGAATAATGCAAGATTTGTAATGTTTCTTAAGCTTATCATCAATCTTGTGCATATTTTATGAAAGTTATAATTCATAGAACTTAAAATTGAATACAGGTAAATCACCTTGAATGCAGGAGATGGACTATAAGAATGAAGCTAGCAATGGTCTCAAGTTTAGGTAAGTGCACGCTATCAATGTCTTTGTGACAATGTTCTAGTCTTTATGCACTTTCTCTGAGGATATAGTAGCATGCTTTGAAAACATAGGCATTGGTTTGACTTTGTAGTAGTTGACTGATGGAACTTGGTATTGTTAATCAACAATTAAGAGGAGAATTAGTAAAAAAAACCCCTTTAATAAGTGATGGAAGAGGTAAATGGTCAAAAGAGACTAATTATTCCTATCACAGTAGCTTGGGCCCCTCTTGAGTCCCTTCTCCCTCATCTACTGGTACATTCAGCTTATTGGGCCACTGTCTTTTATTAACTTAGCCCTTAACACACTTGGGCTCATCATTGAGTCATATTTTACACACATTTGAATTACTGTGATCACCAGTCATCTTCTCATATTGTGACTTGGCTTGGAAGTTATGAATTAAGCCCTTAACACTCTCTGGAATTTTTTTTCCCCATGTGAAGATTGTATTAGATAGACTTCAACCTGACTTTCACGTTCTCTGTTCAGTCAACATCACTTAATTCTGTCTAAATCCCATCATGTATGGCAGACCTGGCTTTTAATTTTTCCCTCTGGATATCTTATAATGACAGGAGACGGAGTGTTAATGATGAGAACACTGACTTTTCCAACACTTGACTTAACTTTTAAGTAATTTGTTGCACATATGAGCTGATTTTTTCCCATTTTCTTTTTCCCTGTTTACTTAGGTTTGAGCTTTTAAGAGGCTGAAAGTTTGTCTAGCTCGCTCCTTAGTCATTATATCAGACTTATGGAGCCTCTGACTTGCTAACAATGTCTTTATCTCAGCAGTCATCATAGCAGTCCCTCCCTGGTGGTTGAATGTTTCATTTCATCTCTCTGTGTACCAAATTTTAGTCCTAGCATTGCTAATGGTGCTTTCTTTCAGTTCTCATTGATCATTAATGGAGGCATCATGAATTCCTTTTTCTTCTTATTTATTTTGTGTGACGAGCAGGAAGTTATATGGCTCTATACAAGATGTAGTGGTTCCCTTAATGTATACGGAGTATACAACTCGCAAGGTCTTAGTCATGGAATGGATTGAGGTACTTGTTTTGTCTCACTTGAGTTGTCTGTTTACTTTAGTTGAGTAGGAACTAGAGATGTGTCCCATATGTTGTATAAAGCATGAGGGATGGACTGCATTATTTATGGCTTGTGAGCAATGTAGCTTGTTATAGAGTTTGTATTTCATATTGATCTATTGATAGTTCAATGTATGTATGGCTTTAAAGCTAGATAAATTAACTTGGGGCTTAAGATGCATGACTCTAAAACTTTTTAGAAATTATTTTAACGTTTCTTTCAATGCTAGTATGTATTAGAATAGGGAAAATCTCATTTAGGGCCTCTAAAACACACAAATTTGCACTACAAGCCCAATAAATTTGAAAATGCATTGCAGGCCAAAGGGTATTTTTTGCAAATTTTGTTGTAGATGAAAAGATACTATTGCTCTTGTTTCAAGGGCATGTCCATGTATGTACAGCACGAAGTCCACAAATTCTCAATACAATGTTTATAAATGCACAACATATTTGGTGGACATGATTTAACTTGAAGTAAAATGTACAAGCAAGCAAATGATGAACAACACAATGTTTCTGAATATGCAACATAATACCCATCAATTCTCAACACAATGAACATATGTAGACTTGCAACATTCGTACAATATAAAGTCCATAATACAACAACAACAACAAGCCTTTATCCTACTAGGTGGGGTCGGCTACATGGATTGCAAGACGCCATTGTGCTCTATCATTTATCAAGCTTTTAGGAATATTATTAATTAAGAGATCGCGTTCAACAACTTCCAAGAGTGTTCTCTTAGGCCTTCCTCTACCTCTCTTAATCGGACTCAAAGTTATATGTTTCACTCTTCTCACTGGTGCCTCCCTTGGTCTTCTTTGTATATGCCCAACCATCTCAACCGATTTTCTACCATTTTTTCCTCAATAGGTGCCACCCTCACTTTTTTGCGTACGTGCTCATTTCGAATTTTATCTTTACGTGTATGTCCGCACATCCATCGTAACATTCTCATCTCTGCTACTCCAACTTTATGTTCTTGCTGTCCCGTTAGAGCCCAGCATTCACTACTATATAACATTGCCGGTCTAATAGCAGTGCGATAAAACTTTCCTTTAAGTTTATTAGGCACCTTACGGTCACAAATAACTCCTTTAGCTTTTCTCCAATTAAACCACCCAGCTTAAATTCTATGTGAAATATCTCCACTGATTTCGCCATCATTTTGAATAATGGCTCCCAAATATCTAAACTTTTCCACTTGAGGTATAATTTGATCTCCCAATTTCACTTCCAAATTATTGTCGAATAGTCCTTTACCAAATTTACAATATAAATATTCCGTCTTACTTCTATTCAGACGAAAACCTTTCGACTCCAATGTCCTCCTCCATAACTCAAGTTTGTAATTAACCTCTTCTCTTGTCTCTGCTATAAGAACTATATCATCCGCGAAGAGCATACATTTCGGGATTTCCTCTTGAATATGTTCCGTCAAAACATTTAAAATCAAGTTGAACAAATAAGGACTCAGAGATGATCCCTGATGTAGTCCAATCTTTATAGAAAAATCTTTTGTTTGACCACTAGGCGTTCTTATACTAGTTTTTACCCCCTTATACATATCTTGTATGGCTTTAATATAAGCAATCCGTACTCCCTTTTTTTCCAACGCTTTCCAAAGCACTTGGTATACTGTCATAAGTTTTTTCCAAATCAATAAAAACCATGTGTAAATCTTTATCTTTACAACGATACTTTTCCATTAATCCCCTTAGTAGATAAATCGCCTCTATAGTTGATCTACCTGGCATAAAACCAAATTGATTCTTAGAAATACTTGTCTCCAATCTCAACCTGTGCTCAATTACTTTCTCCCACAATTTCATTGTGTGGCTCATGAGTTTAATCCCTCTATAGTTAGTACAATTCTGAATATCTCCTTTATTTTTATAAATAGGAATTAATGTACTTCTCCTCCACTCATCAGGCATTTTCTTGGACCGTAAAATCACATTAAATAACTTAGTTAACCATCTCACCCCTTCTTCACCTAAACATTTCCACGCTTCGATAGATATACAATCAGGTCCGTTGGCTCTACCATTTGCCATTTTCTTAAGAGCTTCCTTTACCTCCTTATCACGTATTATTCGATAGAATGACAAATTTTGTTCTCCTTCACCAGTTACTAAATCCTCCAAGTTACTAGATGAATCCATAATGAACAATATATTTTCATTGAAACAACATACTTCAAGTTAATGTGCATCGGATATGTTGTTGTACATTCATGAATATTGTATTGAGAATTCGCGGACATTGTCTTATGTTATGAACATTCTATTGAGACAAGGGCAAATATGTCTTTTCATTCACAATAAAATTTACAAGAAAGGCACTTTGGCATGTAGTGCATTTTCAATTTTATTGAGCCTGCAGTGTACATTTTTGTGTTTTGGTGGCCCTAAGTGAGATTCTCCTGTTAGAATACTACCAATTACAAACTCAAATAATGAGAAAAATAGCGCTCTTATTGTAATTTCTCTTGTCAAACTGTCTAGAATAATTTTCTAAGGAAAGTGCCTCAACTTTCCTCCCTTTGAGATTCAAGAGAAATATAGAAGCCATTTTCTCTTGTAGATGATCTTTTTATCCCTGCTGCATGAGTTTGACACTTCTTCTGATGCAAGTCTTGTTTAATTTTTTACATCTATTGTAGGGGCAGAAATTATCAGAAGTGAAGGATCTCTACTTGATTGAGGTCATTTGTGAAGCTAGATGCAGACATTCTTGTTTTGATATTTACTCTGTTAGCAATCAGCTTTTACGCAATGGACTAAGCAAGTTCATCTTTCCTTTCTTGTGATAATTAGGTCGGAGTTTACTGCTCATTCAATCAACTTCTTGAGTATGGATTCTATCATGCAGATCCACACCCTGGCAATCTTCTCCGTACATATGATGGAAAAACTAGCTTATTTAGGTAATTTAAGTATGAAAAGAATTGAAGTATACAATCCAGTGTGTTTTCCTATGAATTTTACTGTCTGCTTTTTTTTCTGTTGGCTTCTTGGTTGATCTCTACACTAATTATCATGTTCGACAACTTAAAGTTTCAAACAAGTTGAACTCTTGGAATGCCTGCCTCATGGTATAAAACCCTTTTTCTTTCTCCCTTTTTTTTCTAACCTTCATTTGGTGGTAATTTCTATTAATTCCTTTGTTACTTCTTCCAGGTTGCTCATAAAATCATATCATCAGATATTAAAAGAGACAGCGTAGAGTGAAGAGTTAAAATTATTTTATGATGTCTGATGCCTGTCATCCTAACTTTCGTTTTGATTTAAAAGTATAAAAGTTGAGACCCTTATTATGGAGCTTGGTCTTCGGATAGTTCTGATTCTTTGTTAGATTTTATACCCCCTTCAGTGTTTTGGACAACCCAGAAGACAACTCTTTTCTGTTTTGCCTTATTTAGAAGTCTAAGGCCCCTTTCTTGGAGAACTAAAGTTATCTCAAAAGCTTAAACTGTTTGGAGAAGGATCATAAATGATATTTACACACACTTGCATGAGCAACATAGCCCCTTGCGTTAAAGTCATTAGGGCTTGAAGCATGGTCAAAACATATTGGGGGAGGTAATATTGAACCCCTAACTAGGTCATGTAGGCGCTAATACTTTGTGAAGAACTATTTCATCCATAAAGCTTAAGCTCTTTGGTGAAGGTCCAGCAATGGTATTCACACACACAACATATAAAACACAACCCATTGCTAAAAATTCATTGGGGTTTCAGCATGGTCAATGGGCTTCAAATACTCTGTAAAAAAAAATTAATGCAATAAGAAAAACTTGGGAGAGGTAAGGATTGAACTCCTGACCAGATCATGGATGCCCTAATGCCTTGTGAAGAGCCAATTCATCCCTAAAGCTTCTTTGAGAAGTCTCATATATGATATTGATATACATGCCTAGCACCTTAAACTTCTGATGATCTATTGTAGGTAAGTTCTCAAAATGCACCCTCTCCCACATTGTTGATGTTTCTATAGTTTATAATTATTATACACTTTATGCGTAATGAGGTCTAAATCATGTATTATGAAGTTTAGTACAGCACCATTATGTTCTATTTTAGCTTGAAGTGAAACAACTTACCTATTTAGCCTAGTACTGGAGGGGAGGTGCTCAACCTTCCTAAAAGTTCTAAAGCAAAGCATATCTTGCTTGAAACATGATTTTCTGAAGGGGATGGTTTACACCCAAGGTCCTAAATTCTGAACGAAAATCAATTAGATGTAGTTCAGTAGTATTAAGTAAAAAATGTCTCTAAATCGCCAGCTGTGTCTGAGATGATTTGATTCATGTGCTAAAAGTCAGCCGACGCCTGGTAATGATGCCTCGTATGGATGGGCATGAAATTCATTGGCAAAGGTCATGCCTTTGTCAGCTACACACTACTTACCAGCAACTCTGCCTGTCTAGCTCATTGAACATAGTAGTAATGACTTTCTTTTTGCATATCAAGAATACATAGTTATATACATATAACAAACATCTTTCCTGTTTCTTTTTCCCCCCTTTTGCCACCAGATTTTGGTATGACTGGTGAATTTAAGCAAGAACTGCGTGAGGGTTTCATTGAAGCTTGTCTCCATCTTGTAAATCGTGATTTCGATGCATTGGCTAAGGACTTTGTCACTCTTGGGTATATATGAAATACGATTACATACCTTCCATTTTCATTTTTTGCGTAGACTATTCTTATTGATATAGATCTAATTTAATTGTAAATTTTATCAGGCTTCTACCCCCCACTTCTGAGAGAGAAGCTGTTACGAAGGCCTTGACAGGTTCTTAATTTATTATGTTTAGGTGAACTTTAATATTTTTCTGACTGTAATTTGCTGTAGAAATTCATTACCTTTTCTTTCTGGGGAACTTACTAATTACAGATATTGCCTGCATTACTTTGATGAAGGTGTCTTCCAAAATGCTGTTGCCAAAGGAGTTCGCAATATTAGCTTTGGAGATCTTTTAGGAAACTTAGGAACCACAATGTAAGTTCTCTATATTAAGCTAGGTGATATAAGGACCCAGATGACATTTGCAGGTTTTCTAGGTTTGTCAATGGCCCATAAAATATGCCTACAAAAGTTAATTATGTATATTACATGAAAAGATAACCATAATTGCATATCTGATTCGTACATTTGCCACATTTACCTTCTAACCACACATTCTAGTCAAATTTATTTGACAATAATGTTATAAAATTAGTTGAATCTATTATAATTAGTTTTATAAGAAAATAAAAAGGGTTAAGTGGCATTTATGCCCTTGAATTATCTTACGAGGAGCACTAGGTATCGTAAATTATTTATTAGAGTAATGTTGCCCTTCCAATGTCAATATCATTGCAAAGTCGCCTCTTGACTTATGGATATTGACGTTGATGGTTAACATCAAATTAACTTTGGGCTAAAAATCATTTTTGTCCTCAAAGTGTCCATGAAAGAGTAACTAACCTCCTAAAATTTAATAATGTGGAGCAATTGGTACCCATGTTTTTTTTTTTTCCATAACATGTGGCATCATATTTAAAGTGTCACATGTTTTCCCACCTGGGTATTCATTAGTAAGAAAAAGTCTATCAACCCAGATTAACAATCAATCAACAACATTGTCACAAGTTTTATATGTCCACGACTTGTTAACTAGACATTCGTTGGTTGAGAAAAAAAATTCTCTTAGCTTGCACTAATGGTCAGTATCAAAACATGAGTGTCATGTTTTGATTGAAAAATAAGAGGATGAAATAGATACCTTTTGGCTTGCCATTTGTGATCTGTTGGTGAAATAGAAAAAGGTTTGTCAACCTCCATTAATTATAAATTAATGGTGATGCCACAAATATATATATGCCTATCATGTCTAGCTATGACATTGATTGGTGATTGGTGATTGGTGAATACCTACATAACTTATATGATAGGATAGGCAGATATAACATGTGACAGTACCGTTAGTTGATCATCAGTGCAGATTGACAAACCTTTTTTTATTGATGAAAGCTTAGTTGGCAAGCCATGTGACAACCCTAAACATGGTGTGACATGTTTCAGCTGAGAAAAAGGGTGTCAACTCCTCCACGTCATTGAACTTTAGAATGTCGGTTGCTCCTTCATGAGTACTTTAGGGGGAAAAATGTTATTTAACTCAAAGTCAATCTAAATGTAATGGTCAATGTCAACGTTTGTTAGTCAGGGACAACATTACAATGATTTTAACACTTGAGGGGTTACATTGTTCTAATAAATAGTGTAGGGTATCTAGTACTCCTCACAAAAGAGTTCAAGTTCAAAATGGTCTTTAACCAATAAAAAAATAATGTATAGTGTTGATCCTCTTATAACTGACTGAAATTGGGAAACAGTTCACTTTCTATCTAGCCAACATAAACCTAAGTAATAGCCTCATTTGAGTGCCAACTCAATACTTTGGAGTGATTCTGTGGCAGCAAAAATACAGGGGCTATCTTTTATTGTACATATTATACTGGCTTGAAATGGCCTGTTGTACGACAAATATAGTCATGATCACATTCTCCACATTTATATACTACTTTCTTAGTCCTTGAATTGGACAAGCGTAATCACATTTTGTCACTAGCTTATTAAGATTAAGAAAAAGTTTCATGTAGATTCCTGAGCTTTCTAGCCGAAACTTATTGTTTGAGATTTCAATCTATAGGATTTAATGATTTTCTAGATCCAACTCCAGCAGGGATGTAAAGTTTGTGTTTTAGGCTTTTAGCTTATAATGGACTAAATTAACAACATATTTTAAATATTCTCCTGCTATTTTCTTCTTGATGCTGGTTGGCTCATTCTTTATGTTTCTTTTTGACATGCTATGCTGTCTTCTTTTTCCAGGTATAAATTCAAATTCAGGATACCTTCATACTTCTCACTTGTTATCCGAAGGTAATGCTATTTGAATGTAGTATTAAGTTAATGTCTCAGTTCCTTATAATCTATAAACTTTTATTTGCTCTTTCAGCCTTGCTGTACTCGAAGGCATTGCTGTTAGCTTTAATCCTGAGTACAAAGTTCTGGGTAGTACTTACCCTTTTATTGCTAAAAAGTACTTACTGACAGCTCTCCTCAGCTTCAATCTTCCTTGCAGACTCTTCTTTACAAGGTAAAGCAAGAGACACGTTTATATGTTACTTGACCTAGATATGGATTATAAATTCTCATTGCCATAACTTTTCTCCGTCCAATGGCTCAATAACAAATTTCAGTATTGACTGGTCCTTCTTTATCAGGATGGCATGTTCAGAATAGATCGTCTAGAGTCTTTGGTAACAGAGGTAACTCATTCCTTTTCTTTTCTTATTTGCTTTCTTACCTATTGTCTATTTGAGGTTGAATTGTTAAATGACGTTGGAACTTGGTAGTTCTTTGTGGCTTATCTATCTTGTCAAGTAATATATTAAAACATTTACTAATTTGATGTCGTTTTATTCATACCCGTGGAAAATATGAAGCCATATTTATGAAAGGTTTTCATATATTGATTCAGTTTTAAAATCATCGTTCCAAATTTTAACTTGAACAGATTGAGCATCACAGATTCAATCTAAACCATCATTAATTCTTTATAGGACCGTTGAAACCATCTACTTAATTCTTTTTATTTCCCATGGGTGCCATGTTCTTAAATATGTCACATTGCTTTTGAAGACTGGAAAGGGTACTAGTTCATCACCCTTATGTCAAAGCCAATAGGCTTTTGGATGTTGGAGTTTGAGCTTAGAACTCTGCTCGACATATATAGGCCCATTTAAAAGCAACTGATGTGAAGTGAACACTTTAATAGATTATATTGTTGGGCCATGCCACCATGCTCACCACTCTTAAAGCTGAATAAGCTTTACATTCAGGCTTGAACTTGAGCTTACTCACCCAAATTTAAGCTGAAACTACTAAGTGGGGCCAGTATACATGTGCTAGACCTCTATTGGCCAGATGACCTTGGCATCATGGAGAAATCATATGCGAAATGCACATGATAGTGCTTTTTTCTTCCTTTCCTGTCAATTTCTGTTTTACTGCTTTTTCTTGTTCAGTACGTCAAACTAACAAATCCTTAATGACAGTCTCTCCGTGCCAAAACAGAAGGGGCCAAAAGTGACAACAGTGATTCAAGGATGATTATAAAGGAAGTCCTTTCTTTTACACTAACTGAAAGGTAACTGTCTGTCCTAGTAAGTGTTCCATCTTGTGATTGACACTACTCGTCTCTTCTCCTAATCCATGGGCCTTCATGCTAAAAATTTTAGGGTGCATTTGTGAGGGAAATCATTCTT